TAATGTCAATTGGCTACTTAGTATTAACTTTGGGACTGCTGAAAACACTTCAGTTATAAAGATGATGCAACATACATACTGTGATTGTACTAAAATGCTGTTGAGTTGTGCCTCCAAATATTATTTCACTTTCATTAAATTTCCACATACAATTAAAAGTCACTTGTAGTAGTTTGGTGTAGTAACCATAGAAACCAGAACCTCGGAGAAACATCTCCTTCTCAGGTAAGGTTCAGTTATTTTTCATTTGACTTTCCTTCGTGATGTGCAATGTTGAAGAAACTTTTTCTCTATTATTCTGTAACCTTGTAATGTTTCATTCTGCTATTCTTTGTTGTGTTGAATTAATCTACTCATCCACCCTTTCACCAACATCAAATTTTCTTGATGATCATAACTTTTTAAAATAATTATTTCAATTTCCAGAATATGGCTTGTTGGAGGTTTGGATAGGAATCATGTGTACATTCTAGCACAAATTAGCATATTGACATTTTCTCAACACACAGCATGGATAGGACATATTTAGCCAATTGGTTTACTTTTTCTCTCAGAAATGTCTCATAATTTTCTCTGTAAACATTGTGCACATCTCTCATCCAATTTACCCCAAGTATTTAGTGTTTTTTTTTAAATACTTTACAAATGTTATTTTAAGACATTACCTAATCTACATTGTTGTATCACCTGTGGCTTTGCTAATTTTTCAAACTTATTTTAGTGTTTTTCTTGTAAATTCATATACATTCTTCACCTTTACAATGATGAAGTCAATGAATAAATACCTTAAATGCTCATCTACAGTTGTGGACTTTTTATTGTCTGACTACATCGGCTCTGACCTCCACTATAATGAATGCTATTTGAAGTTCAAACACATATTCTCAGTTACAAAGGAAAAACATTCACTGTTTTGATATAAGAATATGATATTATATGTGAGATTTCTATTTTTTCCTCTCTTAGACCAAGGACATGTTCCTTTATGACTATTTTGGGTACTGTTGATCATAACAACTGCATTTTGAAGAGACTGTGTCATTTTTTTTCTTACTCTGTTCATTTTTAGTTTAACATAAATGACACAAACTAATTTTGGCATATTACATACACATTGCATTTCTTGGATGAAGATGAAGCAAATATACCAACTTACTACTCTTTTGTTTCATTTCTGTACCAATGTTTCAATATTTGGTAAAAGTATTTGTGCCTGTAACAATTAATTTCACCAATTTATGATTGGTAAATACATTTACAGAGGAGATCATAAGACATTGCCCTGGTATGTGTGTGATAGTGCATTTACAGAGTCTGTATAGACTTATTCCTTAAAGGAGTCAAAACATAACAGCATTGTGAGTGGCAGGTTACAATACAAGGTTGACGTGTCAGGACAAGCAAGGCCACTGAGGCAAGACTTGAAGGTGACATCATCCTCTCTCCTATTCCATATTGCTTTCTCTGCTTCTTGTCTGACATGATGTGGATACCCTGCCCCATCATGCCCTTCACACAGTGAAGAAGAGGCCCCTCTGAATTCAGGAGTCCCAATACATCCTTCCTCTTATAAGTTGTTGTATCAATTCTTTTGAAACAGCAATGAGAAAAGTAGTCAAAACAGTGTGATCATGAAGGATAGTCTAGTTTTCTAGATGGAGGGTTGATGTGGTTAATGCTAACCCAATAGGATCTATCCGCACTGAGAAAACAGGCCTCTGGGAATGTCTTTGGTGTACCTAGATTAGGTTACTTAAAGTGGGAACACTCCAACAAGTGTGAGTGGTACCAGGTGTTAGGCTGGAGTTCTTGACATCAAAAGAAGAGAAACCTAGCAGAGCACAAGCATCCCTCCCTCCCTGTGGCCTTCTCTGGATGCTTTATAATGTCATGTTCCCACCGCCATTCCTCCCTTACATGATGAACTGTGAGCCAAAATTAAATCTTTCTCCTTTCAGTTGCCTTTATAGGGAATTTAGTCACAGCCACAGGACAAGTCACTACTGCAGGTGTCCTCACCCTGTTTTAGCAACAGTGGCAGGGAGGTCTCCTGAAATGAGTTGAAATATGAACCTTTATGCTTCTCTACTTTCTATAACAGATTTGTGTGGCACAATTTCCTTTACCCAGCAAATGTTTTGTTCTCCAGTGAAGCCATTTTGGCTTCAGGCTCTTTAAGTGGAAAATTGTTAGATGAATTAAATTTCTTCCAATTGATAGAAGAAATTTAAATATTTCTATTTTTTCTTCAATCAATTTTAGAATACGCCTTTCTAGGAATTTCTGTCTTTTATAGCCATTGCTAGTTCTTTTGCCATAGGTTACCAAATTATTTTCTAAATAGAGCCTTTTAATAATTTTATCATATGTGATAATGTGTAATCTTTCATTAGTTGTGGTTTATATTTGATGTGTCTTTCTAGATATTTCTAAAAAGTATCTTTTCTAATAATCAACTGTAAAATTTATTGTTTTCCCATTTTTCTTTTTATTTATTCTTTTCAATTTATTTTAATCATTTTCTCTCAACATATTCTTGGATTTTTAAAAAATGAATGCTGATATCACCAATTTTATGTTATGTTATGTTATTATTTATTTATTTATTTTGTTTTTCAAGACAGGGTTTCTCTGTGGCTTTGGAGGCTGTTCTGGAACTAGCTCTCATAGACCAGGCTGTCCTTGAACTCACAGAGATCCTCCTGTATCTGCCTCCCAAGTGCTGGGATTAAAGGCATGCATCACCACCGCCCTGCTTATGCTATTTTTTATTAAAGATTTTTACAATAGAGGTAAAAATTTCTTCCTAAGTATTACTACTTTAGTTTCAGCCTATAAATTCGCATCATGTATAGATCAAAATCTCTGTGATTTTGTCCTTAAATCATGAGTTATTTACATATATGCAATTTGAATTTTAAATTGTTATGTAGCAAGACACATTGTTTATTTTTCTTAACATTCTTTCTGGAGTGCAAAATTATATATTCTAACTTTATTTGGTATAATATTCTATATGTCAACTAACTTAAATTACTTGGTTGTGTTGTTCAAAGTTCCTGTACCCTTACTTATTCTTCTGTTCTACTTACTGAGACTAACTGTAGCATTGGAAATTTCCCATCATATGCTTAACAACTTTGCTCCTGCTATATATAATAGTTCTTCTCTCTGGTACTGGGAATTAAACCCAGGGTCTTATGATGCATGTCAAGCAACAACTCTATCAATGAGTTCTATTTATACTGGTAAATTTCTTTGTCTTGGTTCAATAACATTTTGATATGAGATATGTTATGAAATAATCTCTTTTTTTAGAACTGGTCTTCATCTCAAATTACACTTTGTTATTACTTTGGCAATAAAGGCTTCTTTATTTTTTGTATTTATGACTTTTGTCTGCATGCTTCTTTTAGTTTGTTTGCTTTTATTTTATACCCTTCTAAACTAACCTGTATTTTTTTTTTTTTTTTTTTTTTTTTTTTTTTTTTTATTCCCTTTTAAAATAACCTGTTTTTTTTTTTTTTGCTTTTCAAGACAGGGTCTCTCTGTGGCTTTGGAGGCTGTTCTGGAACTAGCTCTTGTAGACCAGGCTTTTCTTGACCTCACAGAGATCCACCTATCTCTGCCTCCCAAGTGCTGGGATTAAAGGCGTGCACCACCAACACCTGTCTGTATTTTCTTTTTAATTGGAATGCTACGTCAACTTAGTGTAATTATTGCCATTTGGACCAGAGCCCCTATTTTGATGTTTTGTTTTCTCTTTTTATAATCTACTCCTTGTTGTTTTTATATTCATTTATTTATTTATAGTGTGTATATTCCTTCCTTAACTTGAGTGTGGAGAACATAGGGCATCTTTCAAGAACTGGTTCTCCCTTTGTAATATGTGGGTTCTGGGCTTCGAACTCAGGTCAACAGACTCTAGTAGCAAGTATACTTAGCTGCTTATTCATCACATTTGTTCCTTATTCTTTGCTTTTATTTCTTGCTATTATCACCTTTCTGTATTAGTTTTGGGAAAATAAATAATTTTATTTCTGATTTTGATAAATTTACTAACTTTTATTTATCTACTTTGTACTATTTTAATAGTTCTTCAGACACCAAAATACACAACTTCAACAATCACTTAAAAATGTAGTAATTTTAGCAATGTATTTCCATGTATGACTTAAATTCATTGTATTTTCATTATCACATACTGTTTTTCTACATATTCCACGAAAGATGGTTTGATATTTCATTGTCATTAAAAGCTCCTTGCTAATATTCTGCTACGACTAGAAATTATAGGTAAATAACCCAGACAGAAGAAAACTGAAGGAGAAGCCCAGCATGCTGTGGCTGGGCAGTGTCTTGTTGAGGGCAAAGAGCCTGCAGGAGCATGGAATCAGGCAAGTCCCCTCAGAGATAAGTGATTCTCAAGTCTATAGCCTTAACTTTAGATGATAAATAAGGAGACTGAGCTCATTCGTGATGGAGAGGGATGCTTGACAAATTCATTTCATGTCTCAATTCTTTCTTTCATTGTGTTCTTCTATTTTGTACTTCATAATTGACAAAGAAGGACCATGGAGAGCAATCATAAGTAACAAAGAGGAGGGCCTATAGGAAGTCAGATGAAAAGTTGTTTTAAATACATGGGTTAAATATTCTTCTCTTCTATACTAAAGATTTGATTTGCCTTTTTGAACATTTGAGCTGCTTCAAAGAAAGTTTTTTGTTGAAACAGGTCAGAGATCTGCTCCATGCAGCTCCCAGTCTTCTAATAACTAAATATCAGAAAAGATCTCATTTGGTTATACACATGAAAGGGTATAAATGACTAAGTAGACTTGTGTGCATGAAGTTCAATGTAAATGCTGAATGAACGTGTATTCATTAGGATTAACAAAGAGCCCAAAACAGATGAAAAGTTTGAGTTCAATTGATAACTCTTCTTTACTTCCAAACTAGAAAGACTTGCAAATTTAAGAACAGTTAAGTAACAAACTTACATGACTTGGAATCTGGTGATGGAGGAGAAATATTAGACACAGCAAGGTCGCTTTTTGATTTTTTAGGCTTCTTTGCATTCAACTGCCAAGGTTTATCATAGCTTCTAAAATCCCTTCTTGTTCCTTTGGGTTCTGTTAAGACAAAATATACACAAATCATAGTAATAAGGATGGAGAGAATTTTGGTCATGAAATGTATTTAAATGTCTACTGAGAGGAGCTGAGTTCAGTAAAACACTGGATTTTATGGATTACTTTAATTACTTTATTTTATACTTCTGTCCAAAAGTCATGTTAGTGAAACAACTGAGCCAGGATATCTTTTTTATCTAGTTGGTTGAGTAAATGTGAGGGCAAAAGATAGCACTCACTAGCATAGAAGATACAAGATACAATCAATAACTACACATTTCAGCAAGAGTCATGATTTGTCTTTTTGATTTGTTTTAAATCCAGATTTTCAAGTTATACAGTGAAAGGGCAAGGAAAACTCTGCCTACCCTATATGCTGACATACCTGAGACTCAGTAAAAAAAACCCCACGTTTAAATTTGAGTCACTAGAAATCTATCACTCTAGAAAGAATTAATGAAATATATTAAATAAAGAATAGAATATTTAAGACACCAAGAAAAATTATAAACTTACAGCTATTAAATATCAAAACCTGACTTTTTTTGATTTCCTAATGTAAGTAAAATAACTGTATGGAACAAAACAAAATCAGAGGAAAGAGTTGCTGAGCAACCTGTGATTAACACACAATTATACCTAGAATTTTATTTAAATTATTTATTTTATTTAAATATTTATTAAATTTTTGTGTCTTTTTTAAGTACTGACAGAAAACTAAAATACCACAATTAATTTGTATTTGGTGCTGGAAAAAGAACACTGGTAGCATTGAAAATTGAATTGGGGACATATAGAACACACTTCACTCAATGGAGATTCAGAGCAGATAGGCCACAAAATGAGAAAAGCAATGTCAAATGAAAGGGGAGAAATGGTGTCCCTTACAGGAAACTCAGTTTGCACAAAAATTATTTTCCTGAAGAATCGTAGAAAATAACTCAGCTACAGGTCTGAATATCAAAAATGTATTTTTGTGTGTATACACACACACACACACACACACACACACACAAGCATATGCGTGTACACATGCACATGCATGTGATTATTGTACAAAAGGAATTGCTTTTCAGTGCAAAAAAATGAAACAAAAATAAAGTTTCTCCTTCACACTATTAAGCAATGCACAAGTGAAAACATGCTGTGTCCGAAGTCGCTAGATGTATTGAAATGGAACAATAAGGAAACTTCAGCTATTTTGAAAAAGTATTTTGTCTCTGTCCTTGAGCTTTAGAGACATTCTGTAGCCAAGTAGAAGATGCACCAAAATAACACCCAGTCACAGCCAAGGCTTAAGAGGGAATCATTACCTACTGTTCAAATAAGCATTCTTTGCTTCTGTTAACGTCCAAGAACTGGTTGGTTTTCTATTCCTTCCACCTCTTCCTCCCAAAATATTTCCCCTTTTTTCCTATGGCCCTTAGATTCTACATAAACAAGAACTGCTCCATTTTCAAATCCTCACTTCATGTCCTAATGCTTATACCATTTTTCAAATAAAATGCTTATTTGCAGCTTCCTGGAATAGAGTGTTTCACCGCCATCCCAACACACACACACACACACACACACACACACACACACACACACACACACACACACACACACACACCTGTGAGGGCTAGAGACTCCTAGTTTCCAGATGCTTCGGCAATGACAAGCCTCCACAAATGAAATGAAGTACCCTTCTCCTTTTGGGGAAATACCACGCCTCATTATTAGCCTCTGCTTTCCCCAGAGATTTCCAGACATTGCTACAGTCTATCTTGTCCTTACAACAACACGGGTGAAACATGGTGTTCTATTTAAACTTATATAAGCCACAGCCTTCAGACATTCTTGCTTCACTTCTCTGATGGTTTATACACCCCAAACTAAGACTCTACAAGGCTCTTCTCTTTCTCTAGAACAACTCCATTTTAGATAACTTGACTCAACTATCACTGTCTCTCTGTATGTCAGTTTCTGAGGAAATTGGGAATCTGTCTACCTCAAATTCCAGCAATTCCGCTCTTGGGCATATACCCAAGAAATGCACATTCATACAACAAAGACATATGTTCAACTATGTTCATAGCAGCATTGTTTGTAATAGCCAGAACCTGGAAGCAACCTAGATGCCCCTCAACTGAAGAATGGATGGAGAAAATGTAGTACACTTACACAATGGAGTATTACTCAGCCAGAAAATCAAAACAAAACAAACAAACAAAAAAAACAATGAAATCTTGAAATTCACAGGCAAAAGGAAGGAACTGGAAAAAAAAAAAAAAAAACATCCTGAGTGAGGTAACCCAGTCACAGAAAGACAAGCATGGTGTGTACTCACTCATATATGGATATTAGACATAGAGCAAAGGATTACCAGCCTACAATCCACATCACCAGAGAAAATTGGAAACTAGGATGACTCCAAGAGAAAAACACATGGACCGGGAAAAAGGGGTAAGGGACAAGAACCCCTGAGCAAATTGGGAGCATGGGGGAGAGAGGACAGAGGTAGGAAAAAGAGAAGGGAAGAAGAGGAGTGGGTAGAACAAGAGGGATCAGGAAGACTGAGACAGGGGAGGAAGAGAGGAGAGCAAAAATGGAGATATCTTGATAAAGAGAGCCAGTATAGGTTTAGAGGGAGGTCTGGCACTAGAGAAATGTTTAGGGACCCACAAGGATGACCTCTTCTAAGAATCTACGTAGTAGTGGCAAGGCTTCCTTTGATGCCCTTCCCCTATAATGAGACTGATGACTACCTTGGTTGCCATCCTAGAGCCGTCATCCAGTATCTGATTGAACAAGAAGCAGGCACCCACAGCTAAACACTGAGCCATACTCCTGGAATCCAGTTGCAGAGAGGGAAGAGGGATGAACAAAGGAGCCCAGACCGTGCTGGAGAAACCGACAGAAACAGTTGACCTGACCTAGTGAGGGCACAGAGACCCTAGTCATAAAGCTGGGGAATCAGCATTGGGCTAAACGAAGCCTTCGGAATGTGGATGCCAGCTAGGAGGCCTGGGCAGTCTATGGGATCTCTAACAGTGGGGCCAGTGTTTATCTCTAGTGCACATTTAGGAGCCCATTCCCTATGGAGGGATACTGTTTAAACCAAGATACCCGAAATAGGACCTAGGCCTTCCCCAAAGGATATGACAGACTTTGATGATCCCTTATGGAAGGCCTTACTATCCTTGGGGAGTGGGTGGGGAGTGGGCTGATGGGTCGGTGGGGGGCATGGGAGGATGGGAGGGAGAGGGAACTGGGATTGATATGTAAAATAAGAATTAATTTTAAAAATCTTGAAGAAAATCACTGTCTCTCAGCACAGCTAGCATCCTTTACCTCTTGTTTTTACGACATTGATCTCTTAAAGATTTTCTGATCTCTGACTTTGGTTCACTTGACAAGTCTCTTTCCAAATACAATTACTGTCTTTCATACTGGGTTTTTCACTTAGTTACCTGTACAGTGTGTTCTTTAACAACCCTAACTTTCCCACAAATTTGAGTCCCACCTTCTATGCTGCCTCTAGTAGCATAACCACCCTTCTCAATGAGTCCTTCAAATTTGGGGCTATACAGGAGAACACCTTTCTGGTAGTTTCCACAAGGTTTTTTGTTTGTTTGTTTGTTTTTGGTTTTGGTTTTTCAAGACAGGGTTTCTCTGTGTAGCTTTGGAGCCTATCCTGGCACTCGCTCTGGAGACCAGGCTGGCCTCGAACTCACAGAGATCCGTCTGCCTCTGCCTCCTGAGTGCTGGGATTAAAGGCGTGCGCCACCAACGCCCGACTTCCACAAATTTTAATAATGATTAATTTGTTTCTTCAACTTAGTTTTGCCCAGAGTTGTTTAAACAAACTTTAATTTTTCTTTTCATAAACTGTTCCTCTTCTCCCCTTGTAACTTATCAGGATTATGGTCACTTACTTCTCCTATCTAATCTCCAACTTTTGCTTCAACAACAGTTTTACCTCTTAATAAACAACAAAATTTAGATCTCACAGAATAATCTCACACTAATGATCTTCCAGAGCATCCCTTACTTGACATATAATTTAGCACATTTTTTCTTCATTCTCATTCCTGTGGATTATATGGTTTTTCCTTTGATGATACTGGATGATTCCCATTTTGGGGTGTCCTGCCTTGACTCAGCCCAGAGATTCAGAATCACACTCAAATACCTGCTAATATTATTTACTAAGATGCTGCACAAAACTCAAAGTCACCAGTAGGAATTCAACCTCAACTTCTAACTGGAAATTTAGTTTCATGTTTCATTGTGAACTATTAAGTGAGCATTTATACCATTATTTAAGTTAGTCAGCCAGTAGCTATAAATTAATACTGATTTTTTCCACCTTCTCCATAAAACAGTCAACAAACTCTTGTGGAAATGAAAATTCTAAGAAATCTAGGATGAAAACATAATAATGATTAATCGTGACCTACATTATTCCTTCTTCTTGAATGAAGATGGGATGTCAAATACAATATAGCAAAATGTGTTGAAAATGACAATGTCCCAATTACATTGTAATCATTACATCATGGAAGGACCATGTGAGCAGACTTCTTGAATTGAAGAAAATAATTGTTATAAGGTATGAACTCTACTTGTATCTAGCAATTTAAAAAAAATAGGCTAAAAGCCAGAAAGGAAATCAGAAATTCACTCATATGCTGTGGAGAGGTTATTTGCCAACAAGCCAAATGGACTTGGAAACATGTTCTTTCCTAGCTCAGTGTCAAGATGAGGATGCAACTGAGTCAACAGTTTGATTCATCTTGTGAATCTGCACAGAGCTCACTAAGTGAAATACAGGCTCCTGGACATGGACATTGAATGATAAATGTTTGTTGATAAATAATTCAGAGTTTAATATACAACTGCCCCTATAAATAAAATTATTCATAAGATGTAGGCTCTCGTGAACTTCTATTACTTCACAGATACCTGTTTGATCTTTTGTCAAAAGGTGGGTACCATCTTAGCACCTAGAAACCAAAGCCTTTGCTGATAAACCCACCTGAATTATAAACCCAAGGAATTGAGTCTAAACATAAATGAATAAATAAACAAAAGAAAAATATAATAATTCTATGTTTTGTATGGCAAGACTCATATTCTAGTTTCCTGTCTAATGAAGATAACTTTTATGTATATATCATCACCATCAAGATCCACTTTATTCAGAGGATAATCACTGTCTGTCCTTTTTAGTCTAGACTTGTGAGAACATGATAACATGGCAAAAGAAGGCCAAAATATTTTCCTGAGATTCCACAGAGTATGAGAAGAAAAGGCACCATGGCAGCATTCCAGGAAATCATCTAGAAACTAGTCAGTCCAATCTCCATGGGAGTCAGGCCAAGAGTTGGTGACTCACCATACATACATGTCTTAGTTTGGGTTTCTATTGTAATACTAAAACAGCATGAACAGTAGGAAATTGGGAAGGAAAGGCTCCACTTCCTCTTATGCTTCCAGTAACATTCAATTACTGAGGTCAGGAGTTGAAGGCAAGAACCCAGAGTAGGAACTAAAACAGAAACCATGGAGGAATGCTACTTAATGGCTTGATCTTCATGTTGCTCATCCTGTTTTACTATAGAGCCCAAACCATTAATCCTGGGGTAACACTGCACACAGTAAGCTTGATCAAACCATCAAGAAAATGCTCCACAGACTTGCCCACAGGCAAATCTTACGGTGGCATTTTCTCAGATGGTTGTCTTTTCTTAAATGCCTCTACGTTGTGTCTAGTTGGTGTAAACAGACCAGCCCAAGGCATGGAGAGATTGGGATTTGAAAGCAAATCTCAAACCAGACAAACATGTGCAGGAAGAGTGAAATCACAACTGTCCTGTTGTTTCCCCTTGTTTAGTGGGGAAAGGAGCCTATTGGAGACTTGCAAGACTGGTTCCCCAATGTCTTGAGTTGCCCAGTGCTCAACTATTTCTAAAGTTAAATTTACTACATAGGATAACATTATCCATGGGAGAAATAAATAATAATCAGCTTTGAGAAAAGCAGAAATAACAGTATAGACACCATCTCATTACTTTCCTGATCAGAGAAGCTGTATTATTTCAACCATGTTGTTTATAAAAGAAACACAAGTTTAGAATAATTACTTTGAATCCACACAGAATGAAATACTTTTTTGCAAATCAGAATCTTCCTATTAAATGAAATACTCTTATTTTCATTTGGAGAAGCCTAGTACATTATTATATATTCAAATTCAAAAAATATTTTATATGAAAAGTTAACATGAAACTAGTAATCACAGAATACCTGAAAATTATAGGTTTATCATATTATAGTTTAAAATACTTGTAAAACTTTCCTATTATGTCCGTGGTTCCTAATGCTGTGACCATTTAATACAGCTCCTCATAATGTGGTTATCCTTAACCACAAAATTATTTTTGTTGCTACTTTATCACTGTAATTTTGCTACTGTTATGAAGTATAATGCTTTCTGCTAGTCTTGGGTGACCTCTGTGAAAGTGCCAGTCAACCCCTGAAAGGGTCACGCTCCACAGGTTGAGAACCACTATATCAGCTGTATCTCAAACTAACATATATATTCATAGTTTCTTCTTTTCCCCCAATTACCTGATGTTTCACTTTCTGCCCAGAGAGCTGCCGACCCAGACAGGGTTCTTTGCAGTTGTCCTCGGTTTCCTTGTTTAGACTGAAGGTGGTCAATGAGAAATGGCATTGGCTGGTCAGGTGTCTCAGTTATTAGCTTGGTCATTAATTCCTAAAGACAGAACAAGACACACATTTACATCTACTTAGAAGAAAGACTACCTGGCATTTATCATTGTTTGGCACAACACCAACTGTTCACATATAGCAACTAATTAAAATGCCCTCAGAATCCTTCCAGGCATGAAGAAGTCAGTAACTGTCCTCACTCTAAGGACAGTGAAGTACAGATAAACAAACCAGCTGTGTCCCACAACCAAGACACAGCAAAACTTAGCCCAGATAATACTAGAAATTTTAACTAGATTCTTTTTTTAAAGTATGGCTTCTTAGTTTTAAATCTGGGATAACTCTTCCAAGGAATCCTATTAGGAACTAAGCCTTAGCTAAAACAGATGATACACCTTTATTTTAAAGTGTTAATATAATTTCCCTTTGAAATCCCCAAAGAATGCAGGGAATTAAAGAAATGGTTGTGCTTGCACAAAGTCACATAAGCCTTACATAATGTTCAAACAATATAGAATTTATTTTTACAAAATTTACCCCCTCTCACTCTCACCTCTCCTTCTTCTCCTTTGCCTTCCTCCCTCCCCCAATGGCTCTGTCTTTACCCACAGAGTAGACTTTAACTTTTATCTGCTGTAATGTTCTAACCTTTAATTGGGTTAAAATCTACCCAAGGATTATGTCTATGTGTTCTTTTTATGCAATCAGTAGAGCCAAGGACAAACTCCATCCAATTTGTGGTCAGTTATGGTATCCAGACATGAACAACTGTCTCACCATGAGGAGCAAGATGGTGCTTTATGCCCTATAATTGGCTTTGTAAAGTGGAATGCCCCCTTACATTCCAGCCAGTTACATCTCTTCTTGCCTGTTTTATCCTATTTTGGCAATTGTCATCTTAACTTCTATTTTGTAGTGGCAACTGTTCTACTGAGTAGGCCAGAAATGTTACATATTAAGATTATTTAGGAAAGAAGGTACTAGCAACTTCCCATTCCAGTTTTGATTTGCTCTTTGTGTTTGTTTATTTGTGGTGAGGATGGTGGCATATTTTCCTACTTTAATGCTCTCCCTCAGATGTTTAGCAGGCCTTCTTGCCATCAGTCTGTCTCCAGTGAGAGGCTTACTCTAAGTGTTCATTATATATAAGTCTGTATTTTGTATTCAGAGTCTTGTGAGAGCTCCCCACCCAAGGCAAGCAAAAGTCATGGTAAAATGAAGGAAAAGATTTTAACTAAAGTCTCTTTGGGAAGACAGACACTAATAATCTCATCCCATCTTTAAGGCTACAAACCCAAGCTTTGAGGCTAAATAAAGAAAGATTTGGGGTGGGGAAAGGAGTGCACGTAATATCTAAATATAGACAATACGATTTTGTAGAGGACAAGATCCCATGTTGCTGCTAGAGACACAATTCGAATAATTCAGAGCATCTGAAAACTAAAGCCAGAAAACAAAGGATCAAGACAGTTTGTTTCATGAAAACACTATGATGCACTGTATTTGTCTAGTACACTGTACGGTCAAGGAAACACTTTCTATATGCAGAAAGACAGGGCCTTGCTATCACTGAAAAGACTTTACTACTATTATAACTAAAGAGAGGCCTTCATTCTAGTAGTGTTCACAAAGCAGCCAATGGTCAATTACATATAAATGTAATATAACACAACTCAAAGCATTTCAAATTTGGTATCTAGACAAGAGATTGCATTATTATAGTTGAACTCACTGTTCATTCCAAAGACCACTGGACAATAGAGAAAAAGGGGAATGAAAAGACCAACAAGGTTTATCTTGTCATAAAAATCCTGGGCACTAAGATAAAGCAAAACTAAGATAAAATACCTCAGGGCCACAGTACCTTTCTGTTGTGACCCTGGGAGACACCAGGTAGTTTTGTGTATAAAATTTTATCTTTCAAATCAGATGATAATTTTCTATATTTTTGTTCTTTTAAAAGAAACTGAAGTGTTTCTTATTCTCCATAGAAAATGGATTAAGTCAAATAGCCTCTATTTTAAAATTTTCAGGTATACATTTTAATGCTCTAATAAGTCTATATGGTTAAAGGCACAAAAGAATATCAGCCCTAAGCAATTTAGAATAGCAAATATTTTCTGTAGCAGAATATTTGTTTAACTATGCAAAGATGTGTTTCATTTGTTTAATTATGTAAAGCTATGTTGCTGTTTTACCTTGTCTGCCTAAGACACTTGATTGGCCTAACAAAAAGCTGAGGGAGGAGTAATAGTGTGAGCAAAGGGAAAACCCACAGAAAGATCTGACCAAAGAAAGTGGGTGCTCACAGACTCCAGGCTGACAGCTGGGAAACCTGCATAAGACCAAACTAGGTCCCTGAACATGGGTGTCAGTTGGGGGGCCTGGACAGTCTATGGGGCTGCTGGCATTGGAACCACTATTGATCCTTAGTACAAAAATGAACTTTGGGAGCCCATTCCCTATGGAGGGAATCTCAGCCTAGATACTTGGGGGAAGGCCTAGGTCCTGCCCCAAGTTATGTGACAGACTTTGATAATCCCCCATGGGAGTCCTCACCCTCACTGAGGAGTGGATGGGGGTGGGGAGATGGTGAGGGGAATGGCAGGATAGGAGAGGGAACTGGGATTGGTATGTAAAATAATATGGTTTTAAAAATTAAAAAAAAAGGCTGAAAGACCAATAGTGAGTGATGAGCTATAGGCAAAACTTCTGGGCAGGGAGAATAAGGAAGAGGAATTTAGTCTCGGAGGAGAAAGAAAAGGAGATGCCATGGGCCAGCCAGACACAGAGGAAGCAGGAAAGTAAGACATACAGAATGAAAGAAAGACTAAAGTCTGGAGCCAAAATGTAGATGAATACAAACAGGTTAAATTAAATTAAAAGAGGTATTGGATAAGCGTAAGCTAAAGCCAAGCACTCATAATTAATAGTAAGTCTAGGTGTCTTTACTTGGGAGCTGGTTGTTGGCCCAAAGAAAATGCCAACTACAGTTTTCAGTACAGTATGTTGCTGGGTCAAAAGTCTAGCCCCAGATGATTCTGAACATAAAAAGTGTTGTCTGGCCTGTCACTCTATGTATCCAGACATTTTTGCACTTGAGAATTGGAAATTGCAAAATTTGCTTTTCTAGTTAGGAGCATTTAAATCCTTAAATTTTCAAAGGAGCTCCTGGCAATAGAATGTCATTCTCTTTCAACCACGAGTTCGTAGAGACACATAAATATAACTGGGGAGCTAATACATTTGGGAGGTGAGAATGGAGCTGTGTGAGTAGAATGTCAAGATAGAAGTGGGAATTGATTGCTAGATGATTCACAAGGCTCATTCAGCACAAATGGAAAGTATTTGAGAACCTTAAGGCAGTCTCAACTCTAGAGCTGAATACCTTTAGGAAATGATATACAATCTTTATCATTAGTGTAAGATTGCTGGTATGGTACGAAGTTCCAGTGAAATTTTGGTTGTGTGTGTTTACATATAAAATGCAAAATGGAGAAAGCAATACCATCCTTCCCCCGATCCAAATATTTGTGAGGACCTGGGGAGTGACAACATGCAGATACTAATTTACCTGGGATCATGTTTGCACTCACAACCAGAACACATACTAGTAAACTTGTCCATAATTGATTGTATTCATAACTACTAATAATGGTAACTAGTTGAGATAAACAGCAGTCAACAGAAGGCACAGAAAACAGTCATGATTCATCTCCCAGGCTTTGAAACCACTCTTCAGTATCATTCTTTATCATTCTTCTATTTCCTGACTGTGTAAGTTTGGGTAAGGTGCTTCATCACCTTAACATGAAATTCTCCACCAACTGAATGTGAATGATAATGCCTACCTCATAGGGTTGCCATGGAGATTAAAAAGATGTTGATCAGAAGGCATTTGCAAAGTGTTTTAAGCTATGTGTATACTGCTGGGGTGGGAGCTGTTTCTAGGATCTCACTCCATTGATCTCTGTTAGGGTTTCCTAAGGAGGACTTGGAGAGGACTTGGAGAGCAGACAGAAGCAGAGAAACTGCTCTAAGAATTGAGTGCAGATAGAAATGAGGGCACATGGGAGACTCACAGCAGCTTCCCAGAGAGTCTGGAAAACTCCACTGCAGGCTTGGATTGAAAGCTTGCAAAAATACTCAAGAACTGCAGCAGCTTCTGGCACAGCCACCTGCTTCTTGTGCTGTAGCCTGAGATCATCCGGGTCAGTAACTCTAATCCTGATGGTGGCTTTTCTTGACCTGCAACAGCGTTTCTCTCATCTTGGAGCTCAATGTTTTATTTCTCACCATGTAAATTCATTATTACTAACTCAATTATAATGAAGATGCTTCTGATTTTATAACTTAATGCTTATGGATACCCCTTAAAAGAAGGCAGCATTTTAATGTTTACTGCAATCTATAAGTATTTTATAGGCTATATAATGTACAATATATCTTATTTTATTATTACAATCACTATCCTTTTATTAATATGTATTAGCAATATTATAGATGATAAATTTCCATTGACTTCATTTTATTTTGGTATTAATGTTCTCCTTCTCTTAATTAAAATGCAATTATATTATTTCAGTCCTTCTTTTTCCTTCCTCCAGCCCCTCCTATGTCCTCTCCTTGGCTCCCCCTCAAATTTATAATTCATGGCCTCTTTTTATTTGTTATTAAATAAAGTCCACTTAGTGTTACATGTGTATATGATTTCAGTGATGACCACTTGGTGTTGAATAACCACTTGGAAGGTTTTTTCTTTTATTTTCTGGAGAAGACTCTTTCCCTTCTCTCAACAGACATTTGCTGCCTGGAGTTATTTGTGTAGGGCTGAGACCTAGTAGGATTTCTTCCTTCCATGTTAGAATGTCTATTGGTGTTGTACTTGCTCAGGTCTTTTCTAAAGCACCTATATGGTTGAGGTATCATGGGTGAAGCATCCTGTCATTTAAAGGAGACATAATATCACAGCAGATTTCCTGATCCTCTGGCTCTTACAATCTTTTTACCTCCTTGTCCTCATATTCCCCAAGCCTTAGCTGA